TTTAACGCGATTCCCACCGCACCATTCCCAGTCACCTGCTCCGCACCCCCCCGAGGTGTGCAGGGGTGGGAAGAGGTGCCTTTGCTGCTGAAGGGCATCTCGGGTGGGGTCTCTGTTCTCTCCTCCGACCCTCAGCACAACTGCACCCAAAGCAGCATTTTGGAACGGCGGGTTTGGGGGTTTCTCTGCCCAGGACCAAACTCCTGCACCTCTAGAAATGGCTCTTCCAGTATGATTCACTGGACTTAGCCCAGCTTTACAGCAAACCGTAGGCTTTATAAAGTCCCACTTTTTAACTCTTCACACATACACACAACGTGTTTTTTTTTAATTCCTCACTGTTGCCAACCAGTCTTGCCTGTGTTGACACCCAGACGAGCTCCCGACAGTCCCTTTTCAGGCTCAGATGTGCGGCTTGCGGGTAGTTTTAACTGCTGCCTGGCTTTTCAGCCTATTTTTGGAGAGCCGAGCAGCGCAAATGAATATTCCTGCTGAAGGTACCTTTAATCGGGTTCTTTACAAAATCTGTTCCACCTTCCTGCCTCCCACCCCCTAGATACACACGCACCATACCGAGGTTTGCATTTTTCATGGCGGGACAGGCAAGTCTATAAAAGGCATGTTTGTTTTTCCTGGCTGTTTCAAATATGTATTTCCTGAAGGACTTCGCATCTAATGGGGTCATCAGAAGCACATGTGCGATTTTCATCTTTCCAAAGTGATTTCTTCTCTCTCCCCCCTTTTCCTGAGCAGCAGTGTTTGCTGATGTAACATTTTACCTGTCTCTTCATCTTAGCTACCTCCCCGTTTCCTTCTGAGGAAACGTTCTTTCTTCTCCTTCTGAGTCCCAGACTCTAGGTGAAGTCCCAGTTTGCTTCCGTGTGTCTGTCTGGGTTTGGTTTTTTTTTTTTTTTTTTTTTTTTTTTGGGGGCTCTTTTTATTTTTTTTTCTCTTTTTTTTTTTCACCTGTAGGACACGGGTTGGGCTAGGGGAAGGAGCAGCTCATTGCTCGGCCGCCTGCCGGTACCCCGGGGCGCGGAGCAGGACGGGCTCTGCGGCACACCGGGACCCCGGGTAAAGGCGAATTTGATATTTAGAGCTGGAGGTTGAGTATTTTCACCCAGTAGCAAGGAAAAAAAACCCTACCAAGCCAACCGACACCCAAACAAACCTCCCCTCCCTTTTACTTAAGTGGGAAGGCGATGGACCTTCTCTCCGACCGAGGAGCCGCCTCCCCGTAGCGGAGAGGGGAAACTTCGAGCCCCTCTGCCTCTCCCTGCCGCAAAATGGGAAGAATCTGATCAGGCAGCCCAGCTCCTAAGTTTAAATATGTATTTTTCCGAAGCCCAGAGCTACTCTCCTTCAGACAAACCCCTCACCTCTTCCCTGTGTGCTGAAGCACTGAAAGTTCCCCTTCAGTGTATTTTTCTTGGCTGTGTCTTTGAGACGCAGCGTTTTGATTCACTAAGCAGAGGAAGTTAAAGAGCTCTGCAGCAAGGGCCGGTGGCCAGTGTTTTCATCGCCATCCCCCTACATTATTTGTCATGCTCAAGTGAGGGTTTGTTCAAGGCAAGAGCCCGCTCATACGAGCTGCATTTGTTTCTCCTAAAGAAGGCAATAGATTTGGTTTCCGGGTCTGGTAACAGGAGCCCGAGTTGCCTTACACAAACACCGCTGGGCAGGCAGGGGCACTTCCAAGGCTTTTCATTCCGGGATCGAGGCACCCCCCCCTCAAACACACGTTGAGGCTTCACTTAGGCCCCAGTTGCTGAGCTTGGGATGGCGAGAAGGGGCACCCTGACTTTCCCCCCGGTAGCCCACGAGAAATGCGCCAAGCAGGCGACTTCTAGTGTAGATTGCGTTCAAAGTCTACAAAATGGCTTATATTACCCAAAGAAAAACGCGGCCACACAGCCTTTGGTAGATGAGATGCAACTGTGCTTCCCGGAGGGTCCTGTTTATCCCCAAGCTCCTGCAAGGGCTCGCAGAGGGAAGGCGTTTAACCAGCTGGATAGAAAGCTCCAGCACACGCTCCCGTACTCATAGGAAAGGTTCTTACTCCGACAAACTGTCCACTGTCCCCAGTAAGGCGCCACACTCCCCTTCGGAGACTGTGCCGCATCTCCAACAGCCTGTCGAGATGCTCTCCCCTCTCCTCCATCAGTATTTCCCCGGCGGGGTGATGAGCTGCGCCCTGGCAGGGCAGCCGAAATCGCTTTTTGTCACAGATGCGCGGCTTCTGTCCTAACCCTCTTCAGGGCAGCAGCAGGACCGCCAACACTCGTGTAATAAAGTACAGGGCTCCCCAGTAGAACAAATCTGCTCCAGTACACCGTGAATATTCAGTGCCCTGCTATCTAAAGGAATTACGCCAGTTACAGTTCTGGGCCCCGTAATTAGGTAATTTGGTAAGGTTCTAGTCTGAGGGCAAATGCCACTTTTATATATATGTATAGACACATCACATATATGCGTGTGTATGTATACATATGTATGTGTGTGTGCGTATACGAGAGAGAGAAGGAGCGCGGTTTTTCCCTTAGGTGTCCAAGCCGTAGGGGCTCCGCTGTGGGGTTTGCCTGCCCCTGTGGGGTTTGCCTGCCACTGTGGGGTTTGCCTGCCACTGTGGGGTTTGCCTGCCGCATCCCGGCCTCAGCCCGGGGATAGCCAGGGGGAGTTTCACGGGCAAAGCCCGCCGGGTGCGGACCGCCTTTTTATTTATGCCCCGAAACCTGCGTGGGTACCCCGTAAACAATCGAGCCTGAGACGAGATATGCCCCATGTAACGTAATGCTAGTGAATCATAACTAATCTGTTTAAAACCAAGGATTAGTCACGTCAGTTTCGGCATATTCCTCTATCGGGAATTTTTTTTTGTGCGTGGAAAATCGGGGGGATTTGCGCTAATTTACCAAACATCATTACTAAAGCAAGTACGGTCCGGTAAAATGAGTCTTAACATGTACAGGTTTTCAGGTTGCATTACACACGTCCCATCATCTGGGCTTTAAGCTGTGTGCGCCCTTCATGCTAGATTGACCTGCAGAATTTCAGTTTTTTTCATACTGCATGATTTCTGTTTCTGTCTTTAATTGACTTCAGCGAGTCGCCCTCTTTTCCTTTCTCCGTATTTAAGTGATACTCGCTGCAATTTACAGGAGTTTTCAGCACCCCTCGCTTTCAAAGGGCCTTTCTCACCCTGTCAGCCCTTCATTTACTTTCCCCGATCGAATTCTGCCTCCTCTGTGCAATATGACCTTTAAAACCACGTAAAACCCATCCTGTTTTCATACTGCTTCTTTAAATGGTCCCCATCTTGGCTTTACTCTTTCCCTAATCTTTTTTTTTTTCTTCTTTTTTTTTTTTTTTTTTTTTTTTTTTCTCCAGCGGGCAAAGCCTAAGGGCTTTATTTCGGTTTCGAGGCTATGTTTTATTAACCCAGTCGCTCTGTTTTCCTTCCCAAACTTCTTTCTATCTCTAAAAATACAAAATAATGAACTAGCCAATTAATCCATTCTTTGCAGTGTTGCACCGCTGCATGTATTGTTTTACAGAGAGCGGGGATCTTCTGCAGCGCGGTGGTTCCTATACTTGCGAAAGATTTATTTTTCAGAGGATTAAAATTCATAGCTAAAATTATTAGTTGCCCCTCAACGGAACCAACAGGCTCTGCTGTTGAGACCCCGATGGATGCACACAGAACCCACGGCAGAGGCAGCGGCCGCACCCCCTCCGCTGCTGAAAAATCACCCCAAAGAGCAGAAAAGGGAGAAACATAAACCTGAATATACCACATTGTCTCCTTTATAACGCTGTACCCCTCTGCGCCCCAGCATAACGAGAAGACCGGATTTATAGCCACGAGTAAGAGAAGGCTTTTTTCTCCCCGAGGCCGATCCTCCCCTTTACCGACATCCATACTTTCCCTTCTATAGGCATTAACTGGGCCTCAGGGAAATGTGCTTTTAGCGGGCACCCACAAAGGCACAGAGGCGCTAATCCAGCCCCAGATTATATCAAATTAGGACATTGCCCGCACAAAACTCCCGCTGATTGAAATTTCAGCCAGCGTTTGAAACCTGGACACGATCTCTGCTGATCTACGCATATTTCTATCCCGCTTGAAGCCATATCGCTTTCTCGGTTTATTTTTCACAAGAAATTCATTTTAGGGAAGAGGAAAAAAAAAAAAAGTATAAAACCCCTTGCAAGCTCTGAGGAACATTTAAACAGATGATACAGCACATTCGGCTTCTAGCAAAGAGTTGGTAGCGAGGGAGCAAATTGTAATGAAATCACCTTGAGCTTTTATCTTTTAATGAAGTACATTTGGAAGCAACTTGCCTGTCTCTTTTGCCACCCTATACATACAGAAGAAAAAAAAAAAAAAAAAAAAAAAACAAAGAAATGAGAAATTCCATTCCCGGCATCACTCCCACGGGCACCGGCGAGACGTTTGCAGCCCGGCCGTGCCGCACCCCGGAACGGGGTCTGCCCACGCTCCGTTTGCGTGGGGCGAGGCGGGTGGCAACTTTCCGCTGGGGCCAGCGGACACCGGGCGGCAGAGCCCGCCGCCCGCCCGGCCGTGCCCTCCAGGGAGCAGGTGGGCGACCTCCCCGCTGCCCTTAGGGCCCGCACCGCCTGTCCTGCCCCAGCCCCTTGCCTCTGCTCCCCCCGACCTCACGCCGCTTCCCCGGGCCGGGCTTGGAGCGGCCCCCGCCGTGACCGGGCGCTGCTCGACGGGGCGCCCCAAACCGGGCAGGGTGCGGGGGTGCTGTCTGACGGCCCGGGGGGGCGGTAAGAGGGGAGGCCCCCTCGCCTTTGCGGCGGCGGGGGGGGACCCCCGGGAAGGAGAGGGTAGGACGGGGACCCTGACACCGCCCCGGGTGTCCGCCGCCTCTCCCGGCAGAGTGCCGTCAGCCCCGGCCACCGGGGCTCTGCTCCGCTCGGGGCTGAGCCCGAAAACACCCCGCGGGCGAGTGAAGCAACCGCACGCAGAGTTAGATTTCTAAATTTTATTATAAAATAAAAGCAGAAATATTTTCCAAAGAATGTATTCACATAATATAAACAATAAACAAAACTAAGGTGAGTGACTTGCGGTTGATACTGTCGTTTAGGTCTAAACTTGAGCAGCAATTCCTCTCTTTTTTAAAGCCCGCTCCCGCCCTCGCTGCACACCGAGGGGAGAATCTGCCCCTGCCTTCCTCCGGGGCCGGAGCCGGACCATCACTTCCTTTCCCACCCCGCAAATGGCGAAAGCACCACATGGACAAGGCCAAAGAAGCCGTCTCTGTGCATAGCATCAGCTACAAGAAGGTTACAGAATCTGCCTAGAGCGCGTGTTGCTGCGATAAACTTGACTACAGCTTTTGTATTCTTAGTTGAAATTGTACATCGTACACCTGCCACGGATATATAACTACAATAGAATAACGGGAGCGATGTGTAACTTCCAAACAGCGGCCTTGCGCTCCCCTTTCCTCCCCACCCCCCGAAAAGAAAAGATTACAATGTGCCTCTTCCCACACAGACCGGCGCTATCGAGTGACACCGAGAGATTCGTGAAGTTAAGGCTGAGAAGAGCTCTGCTACACCGAACCGCCTTACAGCCTGCCGTGAAAATCACAGCTCCTGTCCAACAGTCCTTACACGCCTGATACCACCTTTAAGCAACCTTTAAAGCTTTTCATAACATTACTGCCCACAGCCGAGTCCAATAACTTCCAAACCAGCAGCCAGCCTGCTGCCAAAGGGCACAACACATCCACTAAGGAGTGTGTCATTGCTTTCCAAGTCTCTGGTAAGATTAAGGAGGAAAAAAAAAAAAAAAGGGGGGGGGGGAATAGAGTAAAGGGGCGGCTGATGTGAAGGAAGGAGCGTCTGCACGGTTTTTAAGAGCCCAGATCGACCAGGTTGGATGACATGGGGTTGAGGATGGAGTCCTGCAAGTTGTGGTGGTGCATGGGGTCGGCGCTGGGCACGGGGATGGCGCTGGGGCCCTGGGGGTGTCCCAGGCCGTGCAGGGGCTGCAGCCCGGGGTTGGAGCTGAGCAGCAGCGCGGGGCTGGAGGAGGTGTGATCCGGGGTCCCTGACGGCGTCTTCTCGTCCTCTGAGCTCCCCAAAACTGTCTTATTCCCATTCATTGACGCCGAGAGCGGGTTGTGGCTGTTGGAGTTGGAATTCTCGTTGTTTTCCCTATAGGAAACACAAAAGAGGGAGGGAAATCACCGTGTGGCCGCGGCTCCGGGGCGCGCTCCGCGGGAGCGGGGGCGGCGGACGGCGGGGAGCTGGCTCCCGGGGGCGGCTGGAGGCGGGGGTGGGGGGCAACGCAAGAAACAGGAGGTTTACAAACTCTGCAAACCTCTAAGGCCTCTTCATCTGGCACAAAGGTCTAAGGTCCGCCGAGCTTGTAAACAGAGTCTCCCGCTAGCCCAGCGGAAAGTGTCACTTTGCCAAAACGTCATTTTCTGCCTCCAAAACGTTTGCACAGCTTGGGGGGGGGAGGGGGGGAGGAGGGGAAGAGGGAAAAGGAAGGGAGGAAGACAGAGGGGAAAAAAAAAGACTTTTTAACTTTAAAACTGCTCCCGGAGCTGAAGAGAAGTCCGGCCGCAATTTCTGCCGGGAAGGCCGAAGCCCCGCGGGCCGCGGAGGGGATCGCTGTGCGGGAGCTCAGCCCCCGCGTCCGCCTCGGCCGGGAAGGGCTTCTACTTAAGTAACCGGAGGGTTTTTTTCCCCTGGCCCTGAGCTTAAAGCTCAAAACATAGCCCAATATGGAAGATAAGGCGAGCAAACAGAGTTAACTCGCTTATTTCCCCGGCCCTCTGGGGAAATGCTCCGCACGCCCGCTGCCATCCCTCCGTCCCTCCCCGGGCGGCGGCGGGGCACAAGGGGCACAGCCCCGGTGGTCCCGCACCCGGCTCCGCGACGCGGGGAGAGGCGGGGGGGGGAAACCGGGACCGCCGGTGCGGCTACCGACAGAGCCAGCCGGCTCGGAAAGGCAGGGCGTCATTTCAAAATCCATCACCGGGTAAATACCGAGAAATCGCTGGAGGCTGGCCAAGCCCTTGCACACGCACAGGCACACACACACACATATATATACTTCTTATTGTTATTATTATTATATTTTTTTCCCAAATAAGAGAAGCAAGATGGGGTGGGGGCGGCCGCCTCGTCAGGGCGGCTTTTAGGTATAGCCCTCGTAGAAAGACTTTAAACACAGCCCTGCCTGAAATACTGAAATACATCGCCAGGCTATTTAAAAGCTCCTGCGGAAGCTTTGAAGCGCACTATCTGGCAGAGGGGCCCTATCCTGCAGGATTTGGCCGAGAGAAGTAAAGCCATCGCGCTGACGGTTTTTTCCTCAAGAAGGGCTGCAGGATGTGGCTGGAGACACTTTGTGCCAAAAAAATAAAAATAGACAAGAAAGCTCTGTTTGAACAAGTTTGCTTGAGTGAATGGCAATCCCATGAACGGTCTGTTTTCCAACGCCTGGAGTGTAATATTAGGTTGAGTGTATTTTTCAATGTCAAAAATCTTATTTGTCTCTGGAGACCTTTAAAATTTGATTCCTCGGGAAAAAGAAAGAAAAAGGAATAAGTGTAACCTTCATTTCCTTTGGATTTTTGAAGGTGAGTCCCCGCTATCAGCAATAAAAAGGATCTCTAACATCTCGTAAAACCAACACTTGCGGGGATTTGAAGGAAAATTAAAGCGCTAGCACCGTTTCGGAAAATGTACGGAGCAAATCCGTGCGGAGCTGGGACCTGCCGGGCTGCCCAGCTGCGCGGAGGGGGCTCTTGCTGTTTCCAAAACACGGTATAGGCAGAAACGGAAAAAAAAAAAAAAAAAAAGTCTCCTCGGAGGGACGGATCTACGGGAGATTTCTAATCCGTTAATTAACCGCGCAGGCCCTACGATCAGATCCATATGGACCCGGCAATTCAGCGAGCTAGTAAGGAGCCACTGTGCACTTAAAGGACGCTTTTTGGTTTTTTCGAACTGTCTTCCTAAAGCACGGGGACTGCTGACGGAAAAGTCATCCCGAATCCCCAAGGATGTAGGCATTAACCACTGCCCGGCAATTAATGGTCCCTTCACTCCATTTAACGAGAAAAACGCGGTCTCGGAATCGCGCTCGGTATAAGAATATAAGAATATTAAGGTGCCTTCATGAGCACCTTGTCGGGTAGTGAATACGAACTGCGATTTAAGGGGCGAGGTGAGAGGTTGCTCCGTTCAGGAGCCGGCGTCAGAGGCAATTTTTTTTTGCAAAACACCATTTCCAGCGCTCAGATCCACTCGTTCCCGGCTGCCTCCCGGCCTTCCCCATCCGCACCGGGGTAACCGAACCTCGGGACGCCCTCAGAGCTGTGCGGGGCGCGGAGCCCTCACCCCGAGCCCCGCCGCCCTCGGCCTCTCCGCCCAGGCCGCGGCCCCGCACCGGCACCTCGGGGCCTCCGCCGAGCTGCGGCGGGGCGGAGGCGGCCGCGCTGCTTAACCGGGGGTCGCCGCCGGCCGGGAGAAGCGACCCCGGCAGAAGGGGCTGTCCCGGGG